CCATCTTCCCATCCTGCTGCAAGCACCTGGCAGGGCTCAACAAATGTTTTGAAGGTTTAGAGCGTTTAGGGTTTAGGTTCTAGGGCTTTAAGGATTATATAGGGGTTATAATAAGGGTTATATGGGGATTATATAGGCATTATATAATGGATTATATAGCGATAATGGAAAAGGAAATCGAAACTACTGTTTAGGGTTTAGGGTTCAGAGTTCAGTTGCAGGCTGAGGGTCTAGGGTTCCAGGTGAAAAGTATAAGGTTTGGGGTTAGACGGTTGGACTTGAGGGCTCCACTCTACATCAGAAACTTGCGAACAGCTGCACTGGGATTTCCAGGAATGAGGGATTTCTTTCTTGTGGAATCCCTGTCATAAGGTCTCTTGTACTGAGGGGGATAGGAGCTCGACTTTTGATGCTAATATGTATAGTCCCCCTTAAGTAGATGGAATATGGGGCATATGGGGATCTTATGATAATTTACCCAAAGCCATATCATTCTCTCTGCTTAAGGGGGACTATAAGCCCTGTACATGTTCTAGGCTGCAGAAGCTACCAAGCGGGAAAAATGCCTGCAGCACCAGCAACTTGCTGTTTGTTAGTCAGGGAATGAAGGAACGGATCCTTCCGCTTCCAATTTTTTAACGCGCCAAGAACGCGGACATTTGCGCTCCGTGAGGTGCCAAAGTCACTGCTCCTGCTGGTTATATAGGGGGTTATACAGGGGTTATATTAGGGGTTTTATGGGGGTTATGGGATTTACAGGAACTGCCGTGTCTTTGCCTTTTGCGTGTCTCCAGAACTTGGCGTCCCATTTGTTTGGCCTACTCTGTCAGGCCTGTAAATTGCCAGGCTGCCCAACACAGTGTGCAGCCTGGGTCTTGCAGAAATCTTCTTGAGACCAGAACATCCATGTGCAGCATACGAAGGCTACTTCAAACTGTGGAAGAGAGAGATCCAGTACTAGGGTTACTAGTGGCATTACTATCTGTCTCGGCATGAAGGTCGCCGTGAAAGCATGCATCAAGAGGATGGACGTCCCAGCATGGATGCTTTCATGAAAGCATGCTCCAGTCGCATGGACGCTATCATCTATCCGCGTGGACGCTGCTTTCCTCTACTTCAGAACTCGACAACCTCAGCAGAGAAGGCCGCCAGATCGTGTCCTTGACGCGCAAGCTTATCGGAAGGTTCTGCGCCTCCGGCCAAATCCCGCCATGCCTCCCGCGCAAGAAACGCTTCACTTGCCCAAAGCACCGTGTACCGTGGGGCATTACGCATGTAACAACTACGCATGTAACAAGTGTCCGATGTAGGTGCGTAAGACTCAGATGCCTGCCAGTGTTTCGTGACCGCCCTGGTCCGCGCTGATCGGATCGCGACGTAGGTACGGCAACAGCCACCAAGAAGACAAGGCCGAGATTCCGCATTCAGACACCGAGTCCCTGACAGGACCAGGCCTTTTTGACAAGAACTGCCGCCCTAAGCCCCAAACCTGGGCTCACAAGACTTGTGACATCAGGGTTTCCAGAAGGCGGCGTCCCCCTTATATGCCCCAGTATACTATCCTCCTTACTACACAGACTTTCAGAAGAGGACCCTTCGATTTAATCGTCCTCATATTACGGACCCTCAAAAGGAAACCCGTGATTTGGAAAACACACATCTCTGCTGCACGGTCGAAGCCCTGATGGCCTTGGAGTGGGGGTGCCATGCAAGGGCTGTACACCTTGGCTCAGGCTTTTAGGGTTTTGGGTTTAGGGTCTTGAATTTTGGGAGAGAATTTCAGGGGCACCCTCCCTGAAACAGCATGAATCCAACAAAGCCCGTGTTTGACAAGGCAGTAGTCCTTATAGAGCCCTTTTGGGGGCTCATGTCAGTTTGGGAGATTAGGTTTCCAAACAAATCGCCTGCCAAATTCCGAAACACTCCAATACACAATCCGGCTTGGCCGGAATCGACCGAACCACTTCACTTAGGGGAAAACTACTTACAACTGCTGCGAGGGATTGCAGCAGTTGGCAGGCTACCCGTTTTCGGAAACCCCCGAATATACTTACAGCAGGAAGGGATTGTTGAACAAGGTCAGCCATCAGCAACACAGAGCTAGTCCATCCTCTCTTCAGCTGCGAAACTGTCTTTGCATTTATGGCTGAACATAACCCTAAGGCTCCAAGGACCCGAATAATAAGTTTGAGGGCCCAAATAGCATTAATATTATCATAGTGGGGCCGTAAAACCGTATTATTTGGGATTTGGGTCCTTGGACCCTTAGTTAGGAAGCGGTCTGTTCAATGCAGGAGGCCCGTGGACCCGAATGCTTTCCATCCCTCCTACCCTCTCCAAACTCGGAGCCTGCCTCCGCCAGAGCCTCAAACCCAAATCTTAGATGAAAGTTCAGGGGTTTTGGGGTTTAGGATTTAGGGGTTTAGGGTTCAGGGGTTTAGGGTTTAGGGGTTTAGGGTGTTTAGGGGTTTAGGGTGTTTAGGGTGTTTAGGGGTTTGTGGTTGAGGGTTTAGGGGTTGAGGGGTTTAGGGGTTGAGGGGTTTAGGGTTTGGATTTAGGGGCCTCCCAGGGGACACTTCTCAAAAAATAGATCTTCAAGGTTGAAAGATAGATGTTTTGGCATCGAGGTGGCGATCGGTTGAGTTTCTTGCAGCAGCCCAAATACCCTGATCCCCCTAAACCAGTATATAACCCCAGGTCCAATTTCGTTGTCCATTTCATTTTCCACTTGATTCTAGATTATTGGGGTAATCTTCCTAAACCCGAAACCTAATCCCTAAACCGTATAACGCCTAACCCCGTAACCCTGAAGCCCAATCCCCAAACCCTACCCGCTCGACTGGGTTCTGTGCTGCACGGGTCTTGTTTGACAAAAGTCTGGAAGCTCTTCCCCTGGCATCGCGGGACAGATCGCGAGGTCGGAGTCTTCGGAGGGAAAAATAATTCAGGGCCGCAGGGTTTAGGGCTTAGGGTTAAGGGCTTTGGGTTGTAACGGCTTAGGGTTTAAGGTGAATACCAGGAAGTAAACAGCATGCTGGCACTTATCGTGAGCACTTTCGAGGTCGCACGACAAGTTCTCAACTTGCTCTATGAGTGGAAGTCTCAATTCATTGCAAACGGCGCGAAAAAACTGCGGGCAAGGTCGTTTTGCAGCGGACGCCGGTCTCTAGAAGGTCCCTCTACACGAAGATCAAGGTCTTCGGTGCCATGTAAGGGCTTCCCGCGAAAATTGATATGGTAGTTTCCCTAAATCGGGGGACCCCAATACAGACCCTAAAATACTATAGTCCTTATTATGGGGACCCATAAAGAGGGTACCCCTAATTTTGGGAAACTACCATATACCCTCCCCACAACTAACACGGAAACTCCGAAAGGCCCTTGTGAGGGGACAGTATCCATGTCAGCTTGGAGGAGGGTAAACAGAGCTGGAAGGAAGAAGACAATCAACTTAGTCACCAACTGGTCAGGCTTAGCTAGTTTACGGATTTTGGCTTAGGGTCACTGCTGAAAAAATTGACTCACCTTCACGAATTCTGATACCATGATTTTCAAGCAGGGCCGAAGATGTAGGGCAGATCGTGCCAACGTGAGGGCAATGTAGAAGACTGAATATTTGCGGATGTTATCCTCGCCTTGTCCATACGAAATTCATACCCCTGACTTTTCCTAGTCTACGTAGTCCGCTACAGCACCATCCTGGTTCCAATCCCAGAAATGCTCCCTTGTTTTGTCGACTCCTCAAGCCTAAGCCCCGTGTATCTAAAACCCGCATATACCTCTCCATATGACCTATTTTGGCACCCGTATTTATGTACCCAAACTATTTCCGTGTAAGCCCTACATATCCCCACATGCAGCCCTGAACCCTAGACCGTCTAATTCTAGACCTTGAGCCTGAACTAGCCGTCCCCCATAGAAGCCCCATGTAGGCTACTACATGGCTTAGGATGAAGGGTTTAAGATTCCGGGCTTTGGGCATAGGGTTCATTGTTTAGGGCTCGCGGTTTAGGATTTACAGGCTACTTGGAAGACGATGGGTACTCATCACCTCCGTGAAGCCGTATTTATAGCTCAAGTATGAGCCACCTGAGTCCCCTGCTATGTCTGTGATTGGGCTACAGCAAACCCTAAGCCCTAATACCCATAGACCTGAAAGTAGGGAATCAAGGGATGGAATAGAACGACATGATTGCGGAGTTTATAGGACTATTAAAGGCATCCCTTCCTTCGTCCCGTACAAGGCACCAGTTAACCCTAAACCCTAAACCCTAAACCCTAAACCCTAAACCCTGAACCCTAAACCCTAAACCCTAAACCCTAAACCCTAAACCCTAAGCCCCAAACCCCAGACCCTGTCCTATTCACCAACCAGGCCCCTGACTGGCAGTTAGAGTCACTGCAGAGCTCGCTTGAACGCAGCTGCTTAAGTTGCGAAGCGTTTGCTGTTTAGGGTTTAGGGTTTAGGGTTTAAGGTTTAGGGTTTAAGGTTTAGGGTTAGAGTTAAGGGTACCACTATGGGCTATTAGACCTTAAGGGTACCTTAATCTACCCTTAATAGGGTCCTAACGGGGAATTTTAGGGTCTAATAGCCCATAGTGGTACAGGGACGGGAGTTTAGGGGTCTGGATTAGGGGGTTCAGGGCTCAGGACCAAAGGACTACATCATTGCTAAGTGTCCCTTGCCAGGGTAGTCCCTGAGCTCCCTTTCCCTTGATTAGATGACGGACAAGGTCATCCCTACCTACCACCCCTGATCCCTACATCCGTGCAACCGTGATCCCTGCTGAGATTACTCAGTGCCTTCAAGGAATTCCAATAGCCACAATCACCTTGCTCCAATGGAACAAAGACTATTACTACTGCAGAATGTAAACCCTAAACCCTGAATAGTAGTTTCTATTTTATTTTCATTTTCCTTATACAACCCCTATATAACCCCTATAGAACCACTATATTCCTATAGAACCCCTAAATGAGATTCAGGAAACTCTGAGATCTTACCGCTCCCATCTCTTCTGGGTCCACTTGGTGCCATCAGACCACAGGATGCCGTCGCCATCCCACTTGCCCACCACCTGAGGGGTATAGTCCAACTTAAGTAGATAGAATATGGCTTTGGGTATATTATACTAAGATCCCCAGATACCCCATATTCTATCTACTTGAGGGGGACTATACATTTAGGGTTTAGGCCTTGGGGTTTAGGGTCATTACTGCTATGTAGACCTCTGATTCATAAACCCCTCCCCTTAATAGGGATTATACTAGGGAACCTACTATGAAGGCCCTCAAAGGGGGGTGTATTAATTGAGGGTCTACATTACTGTTTCAAAGTACTATACCTAAAAGGAGTGCATAATCATAGTATATATTGGGGGAACGATAGCCTATATCCCCAAATAAAGCACTAGTCACGGTTTAGGGATTAAGTGGATGCAGCCATACTTATTAGTGATAGGGTCTGGCCGCGTAGTTAAAGCCCATCTGCTTTTGGTTTCAGATGGCTGCCCCTCTACAATTAAGGCTGTTGCCCAATAAGAACCCTACTCGCGCACTTAGGGTGCTTGTAATTGGGAAAGAGGTACAAAAATCAGCAGGTTGTTGCTTTCCCGGGCCTCCAGGTCGTATTGTTTCAATGGTTGGGCCGCATAAGCTTTTCCTATAACATGCGAAAATCAAAAGCAGAATCTTATCTTACTCCATTCTCGGGGCTGCAGTATCCATGTCTTAAGTATCACTCACCTGGGTGTTAGGTTTAGGCGTCGGCCTGGCAGGTTTAGGGGTTAGGGTAGAGAACCCTAAACCCTAACCCTCAACCCGGTTTAGGGGTTTGGGGAGTTGGGCTTAGGTTGGTCCCGAAAATGAGGATTTTAGTAACCCAAGCCCCTATTATATCCCATAACGCTCATGGGATACACACGGCCTTTCCTTTAGGGATTTGTTGGGTTTAAGGTCTAGGGTTTACAGTTAAGTGTTTAGGCTAGCCCAACAAAAAACTTGCTGCGTACAAAAATGCTTATGTTCCCCCCATAATCCCTCTATCATGCCTTATAGTGGTACCTTAATCCCCTTTGGGACCCTAGGCTCGGGTGTTAGAGCTTCTCCAGCATCTCAAGCTGGAGTAGCTGCGAGCCTTCCAGAGGCTAGATTCCTAGGACTTACAGATTCGATGGACCGCCTCAAGAAGAACTTAAAAGGATAAGGGAACCCTGAGAGAATCCGCCCGATTGCACTGCTGCTCAGAAAAGGAAAATCTCTTCCCTTTTGGGCCTCTGCCATCTTCAATACAAGACTGTAAACCGTTACGGTAGCTGCAAGCACCAAGTCACGACCCTTCACCCTAGGCCTTACATTTTCTAATCTAAACGCCAAAACCCCAAACTACACCATCCCCGGCCCAAATATTGTACCTCATCAGGGCTATAGCTGCCTGTTGAAAGAACTGGGGACTGCTTTCGAGTTTCCATTCCTAATTTGAATTGTGCCTTCTGGGTTTCCAGGCTATTCGGCATCAATTTCGCAGCCTTAAAACTCAGCGAAATTGGGACGATTTTCCACGTAACCACTGTTTGGAGTGAGGTCGGGTGAGGTCGAGGTCGTTATGGGTTTGGGGTTGAGGGTATTGTCAGGTGAGGACGTTACAGTTTACCCAAGAAATCAAGCGGCAGCCGCCTCCTGAACCTTGTTGATGCGCTTTCGATTAACCACGTCCCGACCAACTTCCTCAACCACAATCTCGTTAGCGTCCTGGTACACGCATCATACAGGGGTGCTATCTATGTACTCCAATACGATGAAGAATCAAATGAAAAAGAAATGGGACAGTACTATAACATTGAGGGTTCAGGGTTTGGGGTTTAGGGCTTTTGGGTTTGGAGTTTGGAGGTGTAATGCCTTTGGGTTGACAAGTCAAAGTCTGATGGATTTAGGGTGTAGTTGTTGTTGGGTTAAGGCGTTCAGGGTATAGGGTATAGAGGATATAATGAATAAATTGCTGGGTAGCTCTCAGAATTCCAAGTCCTTTACTCCGGAACAACCTCTGAAGGAAGGATGCACCCAACACATAGGGGCTTCAATACAAACCAAATTATCGTCCTAGCTTCCTTACTCAGCCCTAAACTCTATTATCCTGGATAAGCCTCAAAAAATGATACTGGCAGTGCTTTAGGCCCCTACAGAAAAAGCAAAAAGCACTAGAGGCCCTGCCTCTGAGGGCACCTTCCGGATGTTATACATAGAGAGGGCCTCTTTTTGGGTGCCCTTTAGGAGGCTCATCGGCGCGTCCTCTGCAATAGTAGTATAATAGGAATATAAGAGGACCCTAATATGATCACCATTATCCCGTATAGTCACTGGTACAGGGTGGGGGTGGGGTACCCTCAGCATTGTGGGCCATGTTTACAGTGGCGGAACCCAAAAGGGAGCATGATTCTTGACAACACGCCCAAATACTCATGGCTGTAAGAAAGAAATCATAGCTTCGACCATCACACTTATCACCGTGGCAAATATAATGATACTGCTGCTGAGCACACCAAAAACGGCCGACGCTGTACTCGTAATAAAGAATATCGGAACTTAGGTGATGCTCATATCAATAGTTGCAAGATTCAAAACAACAATGTCAACAGCAGTTTTCAGGAGTAGTACTAGCAATTCGGCAAAGACAATGTCGATAATCGCCACAACAATAGGCCTGGATGTAGCGATGCCAGCCAAAACGGTGCAACCACTAATGCCCCACGATAGGACTGGCAATCCCTCCTGCCACAACAAACACCTGAGACTGATGCCTAAGCCTAAGCCCTGCACCCTTTTGGGGGCCTAAGGTTGAGGCTTTAGGGTTTAGTGTTTTAGGGTTTAGGGTTCGCCCAACGCCTAGGGTTCTCCCACAGCCCAGGTCTCATCGACTGCGTCAAGTTTGGCTCGGCTTGGACGTTTGGGGGGTTGGGGGGGGGGATAATTACGGTCCCTTCAGCTGCAGCCGTCTTGACCTGTAAAACGCAGTATTGCGGTAACCCTCATGCCAAAACACCGCATTCATGTTCCAGAGCGTCCGATTACCAAAGCATCCATGCCCAAACCATAATGACGTTCATGTTCGAGAGTATCCCATTACCAAAACATCCATGTCCAAACTATAATAACGTTCATGTTCGAGAGCATCCCATTACCAGACCATTCCATGCCCAAGCCATAATAGCGTTCGTATTGCAAGTGCATCCAAGAACCAGAAACACTGCGCCCAGTGGGACGAGGTCTATGTCCTTTNNCCCTGATGCAAAAACACCACGCGTAGTGGGACAAAATGCATGTCATATACAGCTTCTGATCGCGCGAACACATAAAAAAGTCTGACTGTCACCGCTGTGTCCCGCTTGCTACACCCTTTTCGATCTGTAAAACACAGTACTTTTGAACAGCGTCTAAATCTGGCCAGGCACCTTCGCACTTTCTGAGTGTGCGACATAACACTTCTCATTCGCAGCGTGCCAAAACTATGCATTGTTGCACATGTTCACTCCTAAAACGTGCAACATTCTCATCTTCAATGAAGGTTGCGCGCGGAATTTTAGAAGAAAACTCCGCGTAGTCATCACCCGCCGTTCCTTGAACACACTAACCCCTGCAAGCGAAATACACTGCAAAACGCAGTAGCTTCTGTACCTTTCACACTGCATAGCATACAGCCCGCATGAATCTTCCGGAGAACCTCTTCGTTGCGCATTAGGGTTTACGGGGTATAGGGTTTATGATTCTAGGGTTTTGGGGTGCTGTCCTGCCACTTCACTACTAGTAGTAACAACAATAAAGCGCGCAATCCTTGTTGGCCAGGCTCACTTTCAAGTTCCAGTCCTTAGAATGCGGTTAGCAGTGGCGGGTGTTAGGACTACAGGTCCCACCCCGAAACCTTATCCAGCTTATTTGGGGGTTTTCATAGGGGCTATGTAAGGAATATATAGGGACGATATAGGGATTATTTAGGGGACCTGAAGTGGGAAAATGAGACAATATGCGGATTTAGGGTTTAGGGGCTATGTAGGTACATTACGAAACATGCGTGATTACAAGAGACCAGACGATATTACCTCTACCTAGTACCTAGCAGTGATTGCCTTGGAGTCTGTGAGTTCACCCTACACCCTAAACCCTTTGCTTCTTTCAGGACGAATCTGGGTTCCTAGCAACCCTAAAACCTGAACCCTAAACCCGGAACCCTGAACCCTAAACCTTAAACCCTGAACCCTGAACCTCACAACAGTTTCAAGGTTTTGGGGTGTAGGGCCCCGGGTTCTGGGCTTTAGTGCCTTGGGGTTCCTGGTTTGGGGTCGTTGGGTCTAGGGCTTCAAGGAGATATTCAATAGACATGATTGAAGTACCCAAACCCCAAAAGTATGTAAAATGATAGCCCTAAACCCATAATAATAGTCATAAAGGCCATTATTTTACATACTTTTGGGGTGCAGGTAAGAAAATTGAGGTATATTCGGTATATTTGCTTGAATAAGTTAGCTGCAACCAAGGTCGAAATTGCTTTCCATAGTCGTGCTCTCGGATTAGATTCTTCTCATAGCCTGCCCATTTGGTGCTGTGGGTGTGGATCACCAATAGACCCCCGGCCTGTAGCGTGCCGACCCCGAAGGGGGCAAGCTTACAAGAAAATCCTCGGATGGTAGGTTGAGATACGGTGGATACTAAAAATCCTGCATGACCCTAAATACCTTAAACCTTGGGAATAATGGTACTCTAGTATACTAAAGTCATGCAAGATTTTTAGTATCAACAGTAGCATCCATGTCCTGAAGGCCTGAGCCGCCATATGCACCCAGATCTTGGGAACATGTCGGAGGCAGGGGGTCGATCACCTATGAAATCCTATGACAGCAGGTTGACTGCATGCTCTGGAATGGTCCATGGCTGTTTGCAACATTGGCTGTCTGTTCCTAGAGGGCTGTGAGTACATGATACTCCTCAAGTGCCCATGAGGAATTCTATATACACCCACTTGTACAGCAATGTAAACCCTACCTTGCATGGTTTAGAGGTCAGGAAGCGGATCTAGGTCCATAAGGACTACTGTACATGAAGGGCGCTACGGTAGCCAGTTGCCCTATCGGCATAGTAGGGCAACCCGCTGTGGAGGAGTTTCTGGGTGCAGGCAAGGCGCATAATACGACACGTCCCTCCGCTTGCGGCAATTGAACTCACCCTCGTCACCAGCACCCGACTTGTCAAAGCCGGCGATCTTTCCTCAGCGAAGTTGGGTCTTTCTGTACATAGGGGTTCCCCGTGTAATGTACAGCCCAATCTATTTCCATCCTTGCTAGCAGGCCTCTCAAATCGTGACCCACAAATTTGGAGCCCATTCGTCAGCCAAGGCTGCTGCAATGCGAAAGTTTCCAGCAAGATCGCATTAGGCTGGACACCGTTCCAGAATCTACTTCAATGGGCGGCTTCTCAACAACAGGGATACCATCCGTTACAAGGAGATCATAAGGGTGGCAATAATAGGGGTCCCGACGAAGGATTCTGCAGAAGCAGTTCCGGATCTCCATGAATTAGGGGTCCCGTTTAGTGGGTCCCATAATGAGGAATATGAACCCTAAACCCTAAATACTGAGCTTGCGGCCCTTGGTGCCGTCAAAGGCGAGCGTTATGGAGCGCTCGCAGGCGGGATGCTTCGGGTCCTTCATGCCGGAAAACTTATATGGAAGCATTACAGGGGTGACAGGGAGAGGGAAAGAGAGAGAGAGAGAGAGAGAGAGAGATATGTATATATTTATATAGGGAGATATAGGAACATACGGAGATATGTGGGGATATATAGGGTTTAGGGTTTAGGATTGGGGGTTTCGAAATCCCGTCAAGAAGCCGGGCCCGTACCTTCTGACTTCCTGCATGCACACTTCCGTCCTCGTAGATGCCGTACCACCTGGTCGCTGACCGATGAGTCATCAACTCCCCCTAAGGGGGTTTAGGGATATAGTAAAAAGAGATATACAGATCCCTTCAAAAGAAATGTCATATGTCGTACAGAGAGATATATAGATCCCTCTAAAGGTGTGGGGTTTAGGGATTTGGGTTCATGGTTTAGGGCTCTAGGCCATCAAGGGGCTATATAAGGACTACGTTAGGGGATTATGTAGAGCTTAGGGGGAATTGCCAGAATAATATAACCATAACCTCCCTAAAATATCAAAGTCCCGCACCCCCACCCTAATGATCTTGGTGTAATGAAATACAAAGAGGGTCATTACTTGGGCTCTTTCGGGACTCCCGGCAAGGTTGCTGAGGATCAAAACGAAAACCCTAAACCCAAAACAGAGTCGTGCAAGATCGGGCTGGAAGACTAGTTGTATCTCCCCTAAACCCAAAACTCTGAACCATGAAGTGCACATCTTCTGGGGAGATCCTGATATGAGCTATAGTCTAAACTCCTAGTATCCCCCTTAATAACCCCTATAGTGGTCCCCTATATAATCCCCTACATAGCCCCCTTTAAGGAGTTTAGCCTATACCCTAAACCCTAAATAGTAGTGTCCATTTTATTTTCCATTATCCCTATATAAACTCTAGATAATCCCCTATATAACCCCCCTTTAAGAAGTTTAGCCTATACCCTAAACCCTAA